CTTCCGATGGGCAGCTGAGGCCTCAAGATAGAGCCCAGGGTGGCCCAAGAGGTTGCAACCACGAGAGCCATCTGAGGACCCCGAGAGGCCCTCCAGTGCGAGGCTGCGCTCAGGAGGCATTCACAGCTGTGCCTGAGACCAGCCCCAGGGAGGGTCCCAAGAGGGCCCCAAGGGCACACCGGCGGAGCCTCAAGAGGGCTCCGAGAGGTCCCCTCAAGCCCTCAAGTTCCAGGCTCCGCCCAGCAGGTGCTCTCTCACCTGTGGCTCGCCCCTCTCTGAGGGGCGGCGGTGGTCCGTCGCTCTCTGAGGCTCGGTTGTTTCGGCCTGGTTTTTTGAGGCCTGCTCGTAACGGGACGCAGCGCCGTCGCGAGTCACTCGCCGAGCTGTGGTCGCGGGAAAAAAACCGCCGCGCATTTGACCGTGGGCGGCCGCGAGGCACTTGGGCGCGGGCGAGGGCGGGGAGGGAGGGAGGGGGGGAGTGTTGCGCCGCCGCCCGCAGGGATCCCCAGGGGTCGGAGCCGGTCGACACAACGCGAAGCTACCGTACACGCCAAGAGCTACCAATCAAGCACCCGCCGGCCGCCCGGAGGGCCAGTGTGATCTCGAGACCCATCGGCGCCGCGCATGGGCTGTCGAAGAGGCGCAGGCATGGATTGAGGCGCGTGGGCTAGCAACGGGTCCCGCTTCCATGCAAAATCAACGCGCTCCGTCGCCAGATGAGCGACGAAGGAAAACGCGCTCGTCTCCAGCGACATTGCCGCGCAAGTCTCCCGCGTAAGATCGCGCGCAAGCGCCCTCGCTTCCAGCGTGGCGTGACGCGCCGGCGGCCCGCGTAAGCCACTGTGTAAGGTCGTTATGCCATCTCGTCGCTCAAATGAGGCGGCATTGGCTTCGTGTTTCAGGGGTTGTTGTCCCCGATCCGTGGATCTGGCGCCTACGCGCCCGAATATAGTTTCAATCAGATTGGCGTGCACCCGAACCCAGGTTTCAATCAGATTTGCGTCGCGCCGCGCGCGCGTGCGAGGCGACGCTGCGCGAGCGGGCGAGAAGCAATAGCTGGCCGTAGTCAGGGGCAGGATCGACAAAAGGCTTCCAGTTCTGGCTGTTTGCGGTGCCCGGGGGGTTGTCCCGCGGTTGTTGCGCGGTTGTTCCGCGTATGTCCCGCGGTTGTCCTGCGGCTGTCCCGCAGTTGTCCCGCAGGTGTCCCGTTTTTTTGTCTCGTGGTCGTCCCGCGTCGCTTGGGGCGGTCTTGTGTCCTGTGGTCGCCTCGTGCATGTGTACGGTGAAGTTCGCGGCTCTGTAAAGTCATCGTGCTTTTGTACAGGGGAACGCGGAACGAAGGGGCTCATGTTGGCAACGGCCAGCCTCGGCCCAGATGCAAGGAGCATCCGGAAGCCAGAGCCCTTCCTGAGCCCCAAGTTGTCCTTACTCCATGACCTTGGCTGTCGATGGGTCGCTCGCTGGTGGAATCTGTCGGGCCTTGTTCCATTCTCACCCTGTGTAGCTTGCTACCGCCTCAGGAGAAGAGCAGGGTCAGTTCCGACCCGATCGATCCGATTCGGTATCAATTCAGGCCCGAGCGATCCGATTCGATTCTGGTGCTCCGACGATCAGATGCGGCCTGGTGCTTACATGGTGGGGGTGTGCATCTTGACGCGGTCGACCCGATTCGATCCCGATTTCCCGATTCGATGTCGAGTGATCCTGGGGAGTGCCGTCCTCGTGTCTTCGCTTGCGCCCAGCTCAGGTGTAGCCTCCAGTGCACGACTCCCTGGTAGAGCCTGAGGCCACCAGCACCGCACGTGAAGCACTTCATGTTATGAGCGTGTCTTCCGAACCGTTGCCCCCCCTCTGCGGCCGCATTCTGGCTCTTTCCGCTGCTACAGTGCACAATTGACCATTCCCTGGAAAGCATGTTTGCGAATTTATGTCCGACGTGTTGTCTAGTGGTTTCCTGCATCTGGTAACGCTCCAAACCGTATCTAAAGCCGGTGTTCGCCGCACTAGGGTTTGCAACGTTTGGGTTCGCAAAACATCAATACGAAACGAATTGCGTGCGTTTAGATATGAATGGGCACGAACAGAAGGTGCACGTTGTATTCTGTTCAGATACAGGAGCCTTCAGCCTTGTGAGTATTGGGCACGGGGTGGTGCTTTAATGCGTCGATGCGTTTAGAAACGGCGGCTATGGGCGCACTGAGCGCGAAAGTTCACCTTCACAGATACGTGCGTTTAGATGCGGCGCCACCACCGCTCGATGAGCAGGGCAACGGCGAGCGGGACGAGGAGTGCGACGAGGACGGCGAGGAAGACGAGGAAGAAGAAAACGGCATTGGAACGACAAGAAGAAGTGAACAGGGTGTAAGTGGACGAGGACAAGTAGGATGAGGAGAAGAAATAGCACAGGTGATGTGGGGCCTCCACGTCATCGTTTCCATTCCTTCTTCTGTTTTTGTTCGCCTTTTTCCTTCAAGCCCATCGCCCTCCTCCTGACGTTTCATTTGCCTTGCCGCTCCGTCCCTGTCCTCCCCGCTGCAGTCAAAAACGCTGAGACAAGGTGCGCTTTGGACTCTGGCGGGGCTCGGGTTTTTGGGCCGTTCCTTCGCTCCCCGTCGAACTTGTTCGTGGCCAAGAGAGCCCCTTCCTTCCTTCGTGTGTGCTCCTCCTGGCAGCACGATGGCTGGATGCCTTTCTCCTTCCTCACGGGGCAGAGGCGGAGGAGCAACCGCGAGGAGAGGCGAGGAAAGGTCGGGGGGGAGGAGGGGTGGGCCCACCTCTCGTAACCAGCACTTCGGTGACACCGAGCCCGGCCCGCGCGGAAGGGGCGTGGCACCTACGTTCTGGCGACACCTGTCTCGGAATGGTGCTCCGGCTTGTGCGCGGGCCACATCTTTGATTGAAATTGTTGCTGCCGCTTGGGCGCCAGCGACATCGGGAGTGGAAGGGGGACGAGAACGAGGAACCGTGAGGAGGAGTCGTGAAGAGAAGGGGGGACAAGGCGGACGAGGCCCTGAGGCATGGGAGGGCCAGCAGGATCCATGAAGATGGGGAGTGAAACGGAGAGCAGGTGGATTCAGGGCGCGAGCGCAGGACGTGGATCGGCAATTCGGACGCGCCGCCGCGGTGTCGCGCAACAGAACAACAGCATTTTACTACAAGGCTAGTTCCCTTTGGCAAGTAGCCCCTTCAAAGTAATAGTGCGAGCATCCACGTATCATTCATAAGGATCCATGAGAGGAAGCGACTTGAATATGAGGGACTGGAGCAACATACCTCACGAGGGTTTGGATGTAGTGTGAAAGGTGGGGCGATGATGAAGGTAATGATTCAACTGGGCTCGAGGCCGAAGATGACGATACGAGGAATATGAGGGTGATGGCCACGTAAGGGAGCTGATGCAACCGCACATGGCGGGACATACAGATGACAATAAAAGAGTACTAATTTGAGTTATTCGAATGTCAGGCTGATAGTGGCTTGCAGATCATCGTGCCCCTGTCGCAGTTCGGAAAGTTATATACGATGCGATACGCCGCAGCACTGTCCAGAGCAAGAGCTCATATGTGACTATGTACGTTCCTTGTGGTGGTTTTGAGAGCAGACCTACTGGTTTAGGCATGGTCGAAAAAAACAAGCATGCTTGGAAACGGGAGCGTCCCAGTGCAGACCAGGATAACGAGTTTTTTTGCACACAAAAAACACACAAACAAACGTGTGTGTATTTTTTTGTGCACAATAGATACCGGGGGGGGTCCCGATTTTGTTGGGGCGAAGTCGACGCGACAAATATCTAAGCCGTTTGGATGGGTTTGCCAGGGTTCCGCGGCACGTTCTGGCCCTCGCGCGTTACCCCACGCCGTTGCGGCAAAAACTTCAACGTCCGCCGATGTGATGTGTCCAACACTCAGGAGCAACGGTAGGGGGGAATTGGCATATGGGGGGATGCATCGACCCCTCGCGATCGCCCGCTGATCGCCGACAGGGGCCCGATAGCCCCAGCATGCCCAGGAACGTGCGGACTCGCCATCGGGGGCCCATCGCCGATCCATAGGCGACGCATCCCCGATTCCAGGTCGATGCGCCCCCCCTGTGCCACTGCCCCCCTGTCGTTGCCCTTCAAATACGCGGCCCCACAGGTCCCGACCGCTTCCTGCGGGGGGAGTGTTGCGCCCCGGGTTCCTTTGTGATCGTCTCCTATTGGGCCCGCCAGCAGCCCCCCGAGTCGGGCCGAGAGCGAGGGAAAACCATCGCCTGACAAGATCGTGTCATCGGAAATCTCGGGGCCCCTCTTGGGGCCTTCTTGGGGCCCTCTTGAGCGATCTTGGGCGCCTCCGGGGCAGTTTTGGGGCCCTCTTGGGCCATTCTGGGGCTCTCTTGTGGGACCTCTTCGGCCGTCAGGGGCGATTTCTGAGGCCTCGGGCTGCCTCGGAGCGTCGGGAAGCAGAAAAGGCGAGAACGCACAAATCCATCTAAGTCGATTCAGTTTACCTATCGGGGCCCTCCCGGGGAGGGGAGGGCGGCTGGGGGGGGGACGTCCCGGTCGGGGCCAGGACGTCTCGCCGGATTTTTCGTGGCCCGCTCAGCTTGCCCTTGGTCTCCCCCCCTGGGCCGCGGACGTGCCTCGGGCAATAGGATCTGCGAGCCCCCCCCTTCCAAGACCCCCTCGCGCCGTGAAACACCTCGACGGGAGTTTTTCGTTACCTTCGGCCTCCGGGGGCCTTCGCTGGCCTTCGGGACCATAAAACAAACTCAGGATGAAAAGCCGCCAGTCTCGGGGACGGTCCCCAGACATGCGACGTCCTGATTTTGTCAGTACGGGGTCCCTGGAAGTCCCGACCCTTTCCCCGGGACCAGTTTTTCGTCCAGAGTCGTTGTTGTTGACGCTCCCGAGGCCCGGCGAGGTCCCTCCGAGGCCCAAAACTGGCCAAAACCTGCCGTCCTGATTTTTTGAGACGCGATCCTGCCTGGGGCCAACGCGATGTAAAAATCATAACGTCGGGGGTCTGGGCTGGCCTCGGGCCAGACAATCTGCGAGCCCCCCTCTTGGACGCCCCCCCCCTGTCGTGCGCCCCGTTACTGGGCCCGGCGCAGATCGGTGCGCCGCGCCCCTCCCTCCCATCCCTTGCCGTGGCGTACATCTCCTCTCTATTCGCACCGTCGGATGTCGCAGCAGGGCGTAGCATCACATGGCATCGCATGGTGCTGGGAGAAGTAGGATGGGAAAAAAACACACAGACATAATGCATCGTCGATTCCCAGGGAAATATGGGAAAGTATGGGAAGTGGGGGGAAAACGAAAGCGCAACAACTACACTAAAAATGTAGGGGAGTCCTTTCATTTGTGTGTATTTGTTTGTGTCTCCTCGGGCCCCATTCAGAGAAGAAGAGTCCAGGAGGAGAGGCGCCCCGCCCAGTGCGGCAGCGGCGGGCGGCAAGGCGGGGGCGCCCGCAGAAGCGGGCCGAGCAAGGGGGGGGCGCCGGCGAAGGCGGCACGGACGAAGTGGGCACGGAGAGAGCCAGGGGAACAAAAAGTGGCATAAGCATAAAAACTCGGAGCTCCGCGCGGATTTCTCGGATCGGCGCTGGGGCCCCCCGGCGGCGCCTCTGGCGCCGCCCCTGGCGCGCTCCGCGCGCCAGGGAGGGGGGTCCAGCGCCGATCCGAGAAATCCGCGCGGACCTCCGAGTTCTTATGCTTACGTCATTTTTTGTTCCCCTAAAAACGGGTACGATGCCCAGCACCAGTTTCTGTTCATTTTGAACAGGACTCGCTGTCGGTGTCGCCGCGGCCTGTGTACGTTCGAGACAGAAGGCCGCCTGCCCAACCGCGGCCGCTGTTGGTTTTGGACAACATTTGCTGTTGGGCATTGTACCCACTTTTTCCGTACCCATTTCGGGCGTCCAAAGCGAAGGCGGCAGAGTTGCAGGGCTCGTTTCGATTCCTCCGATTCGATTCGATTTCGATTTCGATGGTTTCCGATTCTGAGTCGATTCGACTTCGGATTCCGATTTGGGCTCCGATCTCTTGTTGGAGGCACACTGGCCTGTCGATTTCCGCCGATTCGACTTCTCCCGGCTCGGCTGCCGATTTCCGCCGATCCGACTTGTCGATTCGACTTTGGGGGCGCCTGGAGTTGTTGCCGATGTGTGGCGGGGGCGAAGACCCGGGCAGGATCGCGTCGTGAACAAAAACGCGGCGGGAGGTTTTTGGCCGTTCTCGGCCTCGGGGGGGACCCCTCGGGGGGGACCCTCGCCCGGCCTTCGGGGCGTCGCCGTCAGAAAACGATGCGGGATGGAAAATCCGGTCCCCGGGGGAGGGGTCGGGGCTTCCAGGGACCCCGCGTGGAAAACCTCAGGACGTCGCATGTCTGGGATGCCTGAGTCTCCTTCGCCCCCGCGCCGCCGCCCGAGAGCAGAGAGAGAGAGAGAGAGAGAGAGCCTTGAGATCTGGCGTATCGAAAACAATGCAGCATGGTAAACACGTCTAGAATCCCAGGCCCCATCGTCCTGTGCCATCTCTCGAGCCGGATCGAGATCTGTGAGGGTCCCGAGGCCCCGAAAGCCGACGGAAAAACAGGGAAAACGGCCATGAAGCAGTTCCCGCCCTGATTCTTGATTTGTTTATTCTTCTTGCGACGCGGGCAGGTCTGGGTTTAGGTCGGGCATGTCCTCCTACAGGCGGTTTGGGGGGGAAAAACAACACATATTCGACAACGTATGCAAACATAATCAAAAAAAACAGAAGAAAAGCGTCCTCAAATGATTTGCTGCTGCTATTTATGAATTTTCCTCCTGCAGAGGGACGTGCCCGACTGAAGTCTGGGTCTCCTTCGCCCCCCCGCGCCGCCGCCCGAGAGCAGAGCGCAGCGAGCGAGCCAAGAACAGAAGGAAAGCCCGCGCGGGCCCGCAGCGCAGCCGCACGCGGCGGCTCCGGGCGGCGGGCCGGCACTCCCTGGGCGGCGCGGCCGCGTCCCCGGAGGCGGAGGAGCGGCGGCGCGGGGGGCCCTCCCCGGAGGCAGTGGCGAAGCCTCCTGGCGTGCCTATAGGCCCTGCCAGACAATGTTCCAAGAACCTTTTGTGGTCTGCGCGAGATGTTCTCAGTACGTGTCTGGCTGGGGATGGCGTGCTTGATCACGTCGGGTTCATGTTCTAAGCACATTGTTTTTGTTCTTCGAACATTTATGGGTTCTACGAACACGTCGCGGTAGGCCTACAGGGAGGCCGGGACCGTCGGTCCCTGCTCGATCCCCCCCCCGCGGGCGCATCGACAGGGGCCCGGGCTTGACATCGCTCGGACGTTTATGATGTTCCCACCTGCCTGTAGCCTCGACCACCAGAGAGAGCTTCGAGCACCAAGAAGTAGTTACCGAAGCTGGAGGGTTTTCACGTGTCGGGCCCTGGGAGGCGATACTCGTTCGACACTGTTCCGATACTTTTCGGAGTGCTCGAATTTATTTCTGGGATGTGGTCCTTGAGCACGATGGGGACAACCGAAGGCCCGGTTTTGACATCGCTCGGACGTGTGCGTTTTTCTCCGGCAGCCATGAGATCCTGGCGCGCTGCAATTGTTTCACAGCCGGCGTTTTCTTTCAGTTTCGGGCCCCGAGACCCTCACAGATCGAGCCGGCTCGAAAAGTGACGCAGAACGACGGGGTCCGGGGCTTTGGTCGTGATTTTCTGCGATGTTGCATATTTGTTGCAACGCAGGGAAAAACAACATTGGGGGCACCTTGCGAAACAAACCGCTCGCGAAGCCGAAGGATGCACGGGGGATGCACGTCCGAGCGATGGCGAGGGGGCAGGTCGGTAGGCATAGTGGGGCAGGCACTCCCGGGGCGGCGAGGCTGCGTCCCCTGAGGCGGAGGAGCGGCGGCGCGGGGGGCCCTCCCCTGAAGCAGTGGCGGAGCGTCTAGGCGTACCTATTGCCCTACCAGGCAATGTTCTCTAAGAACCCTTTTGGTGGTCTGCACGAAATGCTCTTAGAACAGTTCTGGCTGGGGCTGTCTAGTTTTACCACGTCGGGATTATATTCTAAGCACATTGTTTTTGTTATTCGCCAGGGCGGGGGGGGGGCCTCCTCGCAGGCGCAGCGACAGGGCGGGGGGGGGGGCATAGGCACAGGGGGGGCAGCTCAGCTGCCTCTCGGCGGCGCGGACAGGGCGGGTAGGCTCACGTCGGGCACGTGCCTCTGCAGGGGGGATATTCCAGAAAAACAGTATGTGGACGATTGTTCGTGCTCTTGGAATTAGTTTTGGACTATTTTTTAAAATTGTTTTTTTCAAAATCCGCCTGTAGGAGGACATGCCCGACAGAAGGGTAGGCAGAGGGGGGAAGGCTTCTTAGTAGGAGTCTGCTTCTTAGAAGGAGACGGCCTCACCTCTGTAGAGAAGGCCCGCGCCTTCTTAGAGGCAGCCTCCTAAGAAGCCTTCCCCCTCTCCCTACCCTCCTCTGCGCGTGGCTGGGCCTCGATACGCCCGTTTTGATACGCAGCACGTGCCGTGCTCAGGTCGCGTCCTTCAGATCCTGGCGTCCCAACTTTTTGTTCGAACCGGGCGTTCTCGCCTTGTTTCGGGGCGCAAGACCCTCACAGATCGATCCGGCTCGAAAAATGCCGCAGAAAGATGGGGTATAAGGCTCCAGGCGTGAACCTCTAACCTGCAACTGCCTCGCCGAGAGGCATCCCGGGTTGCGCGGATTGTCCATGACGGCCGGCGGAGAGCCGAGCTATATGACCAGAGAGCACGGCCCCCAATCGCCCTCGTGAGCGTAACCTGGACACGCCCGCTTGCAGCGCAACACGCTCCGCTCAAAGCGTCCGTGCCAATACGTTGCTTGTTGGCTCGGCGCGTTGGCCGAAGTTCGGGCAGACGCACGTCAGGCCTACGTTTTTCGTCTACGTGTTGAGCCCCGTGGCTCTCCCCGCGGGCGCAATGATGGGGTGGGTGTAGGCATCGGGGGGGACGCATCGACCCCCTCATCCCAGACATGCGCGCGTCGCAAACAAAAAAAACAGGACGGGAGGTTTTTGGCCGTTTTCGGCCTCGGGGGGCCTTCGCCGGGCCTCGGGACCGTCCGAAAACGACTCAGGACGAGAAACCGGTCCCCGGGAAAGGGTCAGGATTTCCAGGGGCCCCGCACTGAAAACATCAGGACGTCGGCTGCGTGGGACCCCCAATCGCCCCTTGATCGCCGATGTGGGGCCCGATAGAGCCCTCACCTGACCAGGAGCGTGCGGCTTCACTATCGGGGGCCCATCGCCGATCTATCGGCGAGGTATCGCCGATTCGGGGCCGACGTTTCCCCCCCTATGCCTATCCCCCCGCTGTCGTTGCCCCTCGTCCCCGCGGGCGCGATGGGGGAGGCCGCGCTATGGTCGGGGGCCCCACGCCCAGACCCCCTCGCGCTGTGGCAAACATCGGGACGGGCGGTACTTCGCTCCTTTCGGCCTCCCAGGGGCCCTTCGCCGGGCCCGCGGACCGCCCAAGAGCGACTCGGGACGCAAGATCGTCGGCTAGACTCTTAACGTAAGAGTGACCTTTCGCCGGAGTGACCTTTGGTGCGGGCCACATGGGGTCCCCCGATCGCCGAACGCGAGGCGGCGGTGGCGTCTTGCGCGCTTGTGTGTTGGCCCCCCGCGGCCCCCCCACAGCCGCGCACCAAAGGTCACTCTTATCCAGAGTCACTCTTGCGTGTAGCCGAGATCGGCCCCGGGGCAGGGGTCCAGACTCTGGGGCTCGATGGGGGCATTCCCCGCGGGCGCAAGGAGGAGGCCGTGCTTCGGTCGGGGGCCCCAGAAGGTGCGGTCTCCGCACCGTCGCCGTGCGGTGAGTCAGCGTCGAGGTAGCGCTGACACATGGTATGAGGGCGCGTGGATTGGCGACGGGTCCCGCTTCCACGCAAAGTCGGCGCGCGCGCTGTCGACAAATGAGGCGGCATTGGCCTCATGCGTGGGGTGCCTTCCCCGATCCGTGGGTCCGGCGCCCACGGACCACCAATCCATGTCAGCGTGTGCCCGACAGTGGAGGTTTTCGGGGTGGCCGCACGGTTTCGGGACTCGGGTCGATCTCCGAGGACGTCTCGGGCGACCCTGGGCCTCCGGGGTCCCAAAACCGAGCGGTGAAAGGCAGTGCGGTGAGGTCCTTCGGGGGATTCCGAGGTCACCGCACGGTCACCGCACCGCCTCGGGACCCCCAATTTGTAGTTTGGACGGATGGGGGGGCGTTGGTCTTGTGGTTTCGATGGCCCCAGATCTCCAACGACGCATTTACTCCACTGGCGTTATTTCATTGATTCTGGCCCTCGGGGACCGTTTTCGGGCACGCGGGACCATCAAACCTGGATTCGGGACGTAAGCAACGACCCCAGGGGAAGCGGTCGGGACATTTGGGGCCGCGCACTGAAAAACAGATCGGCGGATGCCCTGCTCGGGAGAGTGCGTGGGACTCGGCTCGTGCCTTGCCATCTCACAACCGGTGGAGCTGACGTCAGTTTGCCCTGGCCCGTCGGTTCTCGAATTCCGCGTGCACTGGCCAATGCAACGCGACCGCTCGGACGGGTACTCACCACCAGGCCGCCGACGTCACAAGTGGATGGTCGGAGGTGGACGACCTCCTACCATGACACGTCGATTAAGGAATTGGCCGTTTTCGCTCCGCGAGAGGGCGTCGCGGCCGTCATTTTTGCGGGTCCAGGTTCGTGGGTTTCGGTCCCAGGCCATTTTCACTAAGGGAGGTTTACTAAAGGGACGTTTGTCCACCGCCGAGATGGGCTGCCAGCTGCTCAAGGAAGTTTGCGATTGCTTCGCATCGCCTCAATGCATACCCCCACCTCCTGGGTGCGGCCAGCAACGGACACTGCGCAACCGCAGGCCAGTTGAGCGCCTCAATGGCACGCGTGCGTCAAAAGAGCGGAGGGAGGAGGAGGAGGTGCAGGAGGAGGAGGAGGAGGAGGTGCAGGAGGAGGCGGAGGAGGAGGCGGAGGAGGAGGAGGAGGAGGAGGAGGAGGAGGAGGAGGAGGAGGAGGAGGAGGGGTGGGGAGGAGGAGGCCCGACAAAGGGCGAAAACGCCCGTCTCGAAAAAATTGAGACGCCAGGATCTCAGGGTTGACGCTCCTCTATCCCTCCGTGCCTCGTTCCTCCCCCCCTTCGTTGTCCCTCGTCCCCCCCCCTCCCTCCCTCGGCCTGGGGGTAGCCCGACGGCTCCCCGCCCTCCTCCCCCCCCCCTCCCGCCGCGATGGTCTCCCAGGGGCACTCCGGAAGGTCTCGCTGGAGCTCTCTGGTCGTCGTCGTCTCGGTCGTCGTCGTCGTCGTCGTCGTCGTCGTCGTCGTCGTCGTCGTCGTCGTCGTCGTCGTCGTCGTCGTTGTCGTCCCCGTCGTCCTCGTCGTCGCCGCCGTCGCAGCCGCCGACGCCGTCGTCATCGTCGTCGTCGTCGTCGGTCCGTCGGTCGTAATCGGCCGTCATCGGTCGTCGTCTCGGTCCGTCGGTCCGTCGGTCGGTCGGTCGGTTCGTCGGTCGTAATCGGTCGTCATCGGTCGTCGTCTCGGTCGGTCGATCGTTCGTCGTCGGTCGTCGTCGTTTCGGTCGGTCGGTCGGTGGGTCGGTCGTTCGGTCTGGTCGTCGGTCGGTCGGTCGGTCGCTGTCGGCGGTCGATCGGTCGTCGTCGGTCGGTCCCGATGGGGGCGTGGAGCGCCCAACGGCCCAGGTCTCCGACGATGCGGCTGGTGTCGGGCCGGGCGTCTTTCCTCGAGGCATTGGCCTCCCGGGGGCAGGTTGTGTTAGGTCGGGCGTGTCCCTCTACAGGAGGAATACATTCCAAAGTAGACCACAAATAGTCGGGGGACGATGGTTCTACGATGCTTGGCTATCTGGGAGCATTTCTGGATTATTTTCAATATTTCTCGCTTAAAATCCGCCTGTCGGGGGACATGCCCGACCTGGGCGCCGTGTCGGGCCGCATGCCGCCCCCCACATCTTGGGGAGCTCCGCGGAGCGCCGGCTGCCCCCACCCCCTCCTGGGGGGGGGGGGGGAGGGTCGGAGCCTCTGCCGGGGCCGCGCGCCGTGCGGAGAAACATCGAAAAACACGTCGTGGGCTGCCTGCAGGGGCCTCTTCGAGCCTCGAGCCTCGGGCCTCCCAGACGCCCCCTCGCGCTGCGGGGCAAGAGCCACGGCGGGAGGGGAGGGAGGGAGGGGAGGGAGGGAGGGAGGGAGGGAGGGGGGGGGGGGAGGGGGGGGAGCCACGGCGGGAGGTTCGTCTCGCTGTTCTTTCGGCTTCCAGAGGCCCCCCCCTGTGGGCCGCGGGGCCGCTCCAAAACCGAGCCCCTCAGGATGAAGCGCCGGTCCCGGGGAAGGGGCCCTGACCTTGGGGGGGGGGGGTCACGAGCCGAGACCCCCTCGCGTTGCGGCAAAAATCGCGACGCGGGAGGTCTTGTTGCCGTTCTCGGCCTCCGGGGGCCCTTGCTCGGCCTCGGGGCCGTCGAAAAAGGACTCCAGATGAAACACCGGCCCGGGAAGAAAGGACTCCTGACCTCTTCGGGGGCGGCAAAGAGGGGGGTGATGACTAGGGGGGGGTGGATCTCATGGCGGGGGCCATGATATTTCCCCAGGTTTCATGGCGCCTCTCCTTATTTCATTACGTCCCCGGCCCCCCCTTGGGCCGCGCACATGCCGCCGGCCATGATTGGCACCCCCCCGTCTTGGACGCCCCCCTCTTGGCCGCCCCTGAAAGAAAGGAGTCCTGACCTCTGGGGGCCGACGCTGCGAGAAAAGATCACGGCGTCGGGGGGCCTGGGATCCTCGAGCCTCGGACCTCCCTCCCCATTGGCCTGCTGCTCCTGCAGCGGGCGCTGGCCGGGCGGCCGGCCGGGCCCCCGCAGGAGGCGGCCGGGGAGGAGCTCTCCTGCAGGCAGATGCGCAGGAGCGGCGTGGCCTCACCGCGCCAGGGGCGGGGGGGGGGAGAAGGTCCTGCTGCTGCTGCTGTTCCTGTTACCCCTCGGCCTCCTCCTCCTCCTCCTCCTCCTCCTCCTCCTTCTCCTCCTCCTCCTCCTCCTCCTCCTCCTCCTCCTCCTCCTCCTCCGCTTCTCTTCCTGTTTTTACGCTTGAGTGGTGTTTGTTGTTTGGTCTTTTGCTCTTTGGGCCTCTCTAGGGCCTTCCGGACGCCTCCTGGGTTCGGGTGACCTCTGGAGAGGGCACCATTGTCTCATTCAGGATGAGTTTATGTGTATATATATATATATATACACACCGTAGGCGACGGGGTGAGATCGCAGTGGAACGGAAAGCCCCCCAACAGGAAATCGGTTGCGGTTTCAGGTTCGTGTCGCGCGTGCGGGCGAGGCGAAGCTGCGTGGGCGGGCGGGAGGAGCGACTCTGCTGTGGTTGGGGCGGGTTAAGACAAAAGACCGCCCCTCTGATGGGCTGGCGTGGCAAGGGTTGTCCTGCCGTGGTGTCGCCCGTGGTGTCCCGTCGGTGTCCCGTCGGTGTCCTCGGGCGGTGGCCGGGGATGTCCCGCCGTGGTGTCCCGTCGGTGTCGCGTCGGTGTCCCGTCGGTGCTCCGTCGGTGTCCCGTCGGTGTCCCGTTGGTGTCCCCTCTGCGTGCCGTCGGTGTCCCGTCGGTGTCCCGTCGGTGTCCCGTCGGGTATGGAGCCACATAATTGCCACCGTCATCATCGACATCATTGTTTTTTGCCGGCAGCGCCGGTTTGTTCGCCCATTGCTATCATGCATTGTCGTCAGCATCGTCGTCTGGCATCGTCGCGAACTCGTGAGTGCGTCACCAGCATCGCCACCATCACAATCATCGCAGCTGTCCTCAATTGGTTCTTCCCCCCACAGCTGTACTTATCACCCGAAGGGTGGTCGTATGGGTAAAGCAGAGATCGGAGGGGAGGGGATGAGATCGCAGGAAACGGAAAGTCCCCACCGGGAAATCGGTTTCGGCTTCCTGTTCGTGTCGCGCGTGCGGGCACGGCGACGCTGCGTGGGCGGGCGGGTGGAATGGACCCTCCTCTGGCCAGGGGCGCCGCCATGCCAAAACACCGCCCTCCCGAGTTGGGCGGCGGTGGCCAGGTGGGTCCCGCCGTGGTGTCCCGATGATGCCCCCTGGTGTCCCGTGGTGGCCCCCCTGCTAGACGACGCATTTAAGAATAGTAGTTGCGTTTGGATGCGATCGCGCCCTGGTGCATGCGAGAAGCCCATCGTATTTATTTTTCTGCAACGTCGACAATATAGATATTATTTTTGGATGCGCGCCCGTGGTCCTGTCGAGGTCCCGTGGTGTCCCGTCGGGGTCCCGTGGTGTCCCGTGAGGTCGACAGTGGGATCAATAGCGAGATCGGTAGTGAGATCGATAGTGAGATCGATTGTGCGACCGATTGTGGGATGGACTGGCATATCGATTGTGGGACGGGTAGTGGGATCGATAGTGAGATTGATAGTGGGATCGATATTGTAATCGATAGTGAGATCAATAGTGCGAGCGATGGTGCGATCGACAGTGAGATCGATAGTGACATCAATCGTGAGATCGATAGTGGGATCGGCAGTGATATCGATATTGAGATCGACCGAGTGAAATCGATAATGAGGTCGATCGTGGAATCGATTGTGAGACCTGCCGTGAGAAGGATATCGAGATCGATCGTGAGATCGATAGTGAGGTCGATTGTGATATCGGTTGTGAGGCTGGTATTAAGCTGGATAGTGGGATCGATGGTGAGATCGATCGTGAGATCAATAGTGAGATCGATAGTGAGATCGATTGAGTGTGAAATTTGTTTCTCCCCCCCCCCCCCCGCGCACCTCCTTATCACCCAAAGGGTGGTCGTATGGGTATGGACATGTAGACATACCATATTTGCATAGACGCATACATGTATTGATATAGCCATCTATATACATACACATAACTATGTATACTCATCACCCTCCCTCCTTGCTGTTCTCCTCCAGCATCTGAGACACCTTCCTCGTCCTTCTGCCCCATCTCCCTCCATCCTTCCTCCAGGCTCAATCTTCGAGGTTTTGAAGGGCTTTGGTTCGGCTCTCTTTTTGGCCCTCTGGCGGCCCCCAAGGGCTTCCAGGCACTTCCAGGCCAGGGGCGGCGGGGCCCAACCCAGACACGCGACGCCCTGCATTTTTCAATGCGGGCCCCCTGGAAGTCCCGACCCTTTCCCCGGGGACCGGTGTTTCGTCCTGGCTGATTTTTTGATGCTCCCGAGGCCCGGCGAGGGCCCCCCGAGGCCGAAGACGGCTCAAAACAGCCCGTCCTGATTCTTTCACGACGGGCTGCTGGTGCGAGGCAGGGGCGGGCGGTTCCTGGCCCGCCTGCCCCTGCTCGGCACCGGCTTCGCTGTCGCAGCACGCCGGGCAGAAGCTTGGTGCCCGGCCAGGGCGGGCGGCCCTTCCTCCTCCTCCTCCTCCGCCTTCTCCTCCTCCTCTCCTCCTCCTCCTCCTCCTCCTCCTCCTCCTCCTCCTCCTCCTCCTCCTCCTCCTCCTCCTCCCTCCTCCTCCTCCTCCTCCTTCCTCCTCCTCCTCCTCTCCCTCCTCCTCCTCCCTTCTCCTCCTTTCCTCCTCCTCTTTGTCCTTCTCATCCCTCCTCCCTCCTTTTCCTCCCTCCTGCCTCCTCCCTCCTGCCTCCTCCCTCTGTGCGCGCACGTGCGCGTCGGAGCAGGCGGAGACACGCCGAGCCCCACATGGGCGCCGCGGCGCCTCGACGGGCCTCCCGGGCACCAGACGCTGCCTCCCCAGATCCCTTCGGGTAAAGAAAAAATCAGGGCGGGAGCTGTGCCGCTATTGCCGGCCTCTGGGGGCCCTCCAATGTCCTCGGGACCGTCAAAAAACGGCTCGGGAGGAAAGCCTGGTCCCAGGGAAGGGATCCAGACCTCTGGGGGTCGACGTTGTGACAAAATCACGACGTCTGGGGTCTGGCTCCTGCCTCGTGTCATCGAGAACGAAACACCCCCTAACCCGAATAGTACACTGAAGGCGCGGCCTCACTGAGGTCCCTTTTTTCGTACTCGGGCCAATAAACGTGGGCGGTTTGTATCGATACGTCTGCAGAAGGGACCCCCCTATCCCTACTGTTACTGGCCCTCCTACATCAGGTCCCCTTTCCACAGGGTTTGGGATCCTTTTGTGCCCAGTCATCCTCGCAGAGCTCGGGGATCCCCCGGCTGCGTGGTGACCACACCGCGTGGTGAGTCCGTGGGGATCTAGGGGCCACCGTGCGATTCTGGTGCTCGGGCCGTTCTCCGAGACGTCTTCTCGGGCGACGAGGGTCAAGTCGGGCCTGTCCCTCTGCAGGAGGAATATCCAAAAATAGTTTAGAAAATGGTCTGGGGACGATTTGTGTTTAACGTTTGACTAGTGTTGCACATGTTGGGCTTACTCGCGTGTTTTTCCTCCAAGATCCAAATCCGCCTGTAGGAGGACATGCCCGACCTAGGACTGGGGCCCTCAGGGCTCCGAATACCCGCGGTGGCGGACCGCACCGTGAGGTCTACTGGGATTTTGAGGTCACCATGCGGTCCGTCAGTCACCACACGTGTTTGGGGCCCCCTAGCAGAGCGCGCGCTCCAACCTCCTCCTCTGGCTCGAACGGCGCGCGCGTCTGGTGTGATGTGCCGCGCTGCACGCCCAGGCATGCGCCAGCGTCGGCCGCGCGAGCACTGCCGCGAAGGCGAGATCGTCATCCGCGGGCCGCGCTGCCCGAGCAGGTCCGCGCGAGCTGCCGGGAGGAAGGCGCCGTCTGTTCCGAGCTCGGCAGTTCAAGGCCCCGCGAAGACGCGCATGTTCCAGCTTGCCCCGCGCGATTGTCCATACGGTCCCACGCTCATGATGTTTCAACCCACTTTAGCCTTGATCACCAGAAAGAACTTCGAGCAGCAAGAAAATACAGAAATTGGAGGGTTTCACGCGCGTCGGGCCCTGCCGGGCGATACTCGTTCGACAGCGTCTTGATACTTTTCTAAGTGTTCGAATTTTTGATTGGGGATCTGGCCCTCAAGTACGATGGGAGCAGCACAGTCCCACGCGCTCTTGGCGCGGTAAAAGAAGCGCACTGTTGTCGCGCGGCGGCGGGGAACGATCCACGGGGAGCCACCCGCTGTCACTGCGCGGTGCGGCAGCAGGTCGACGATCAGTGCACGGCGGCGTGGCGCGCTTCGCCCGGGCCCCGCGCACGCTGCCGTTGGAGCCGCCGCGCGCCGTGGGACGCCAAGGGGGGAAGCACGAAACTACCGATATCAGTTGCCGCCCGACGACTGAGCGCACGGGATCTGCAGCACGGTCTTCGGCGCAGCCCTCCTGCGTGGCCGCGAAGCTGGCCGCGGCAGGTGGTGCACGATGGGCAGGCGCTCGCTGCGCCCACCCACCGCTGCAAGATCGCAGCCCGCCACAATGGCGATGCGTCGATGACGAGTTGGCCATGCGGGTCGTAATTGGTTCTGGGCATGCTTTCTTGCTTGCACCGCAGGGCCCCCCGTGCCGAGTTACGTGCAGCAGCTCCTGTTGATCCGGTAAGACATGAGCTTCCGCACTCTGGCGGCCCTCGCGCCCCCTCGGCATGCCGCGAGGCGAGGGCCGGGACGTCGTCCTGTGCCTGCCGACCCCAGTCACGATCGGGGTCCACAAGTTCAGCGGATCTTGCGAAAAGATGGGGCGACATGAGTTCGGGCCGACTGTTTGAAGACGGAGGTGGAGATGGACGGGGACCACAGTGCGCCCAGGGTGGATCAGCGATGATGCCATTCACCGTGTCGCCCGAACCCCCTTCGTCATCACTCCCGAGAAGAAACAATTCGGCTTCCTTGCGAGAACGCCCCTGCCCCATGGAAGACGAGAGCCCCATGCGCCCGCAATTCAAGCGAGAGGCCTGCTTTGAAAACCAGCCAGCCCCCCATCTATCTAGCTATAGTATGCGCCGCAAGGTATGACCATACGTCATACATGTGAAGGGGATGTCCAGCGAGAGCCCTGGGTTGACAATAACGCCGCTCATCCGACGAGATGTTGCGCAGGTATTGCATTTCTGTCTGGACATGTTGAGATGTTCCCAAGAGCTTCACTTCGAAAAGGAACCACCGTCCTTCCGCGCATGTGCTACACTTGCTACAACTCTTAATCATCCCATTTGAGGTCGTCTCAAGTGCAAGTCCAGTTTTGAAAAGGAACCGCCGTTTGTGCTCGGAATTCTTACTGTCTAAAAAAGACGAATGTGCGCTGCGTCAAGACGAGAACTACACTTTGATGAGAGCCGCTCTCCATCCTCGCACGTGCCCGAAAAGCTGGTGACGAATGCAATGCAGCTTAAGCGAAACCAGCAGTTTGAGAACCACCCGCATTTCATCCATGTAAATGTTGAAGGATATCGGGGCGAACGCGCGCGACCGTAGGTCCATGATCACATTGCGAAAACGGCCTGCCCCCTAGGTTTGTAACTATTGCGATTCCCGAGCTTCACGGTAATACTTGATGGTCCGTTTTACCGAAACGTTTGACGATGCGATGAGTAGGGGCATTTTTGGGGGAAGTGGTTTGGAGGAGGGGGGAGGCAGGAAGAGGGGCAAGTGGAAGGAGGAGCAAGTGGTGGACAGGGAAGGAGGAGAGGGGTGGAGGAGAAGGAGGAGGAATATGGGTGACAGCAAAGTCGGGCGGACAGGAACGTACGTCCCTCGTTGAGCCTGAACAGAGATGAAACCGCACACAGAATTTCCTTGTTTGCGAACAGTGTAGCCTTCTCGGGCAATTTGCACACCTAATCTTCGCAGTGCACAGCCCAGCCCAGTTATGGCAAGACGTGTAGACTTATATGACTTGAAAGCCATAATGTGATGCCGGGGAGACATTTACAACCAAAGTGAACTACCGAGGGTTCGTGTCAAATCCAGTCTCTTTGAACATAGAATATGGTCGTCTCCACGTGGTGTGCAGTTGTACTTGTCTTGCGTGTGTCCCAACTTGATATTCACCGCTGGCTGTAACCAATCGGCGCGTCGGGGGACAACGTTTATGTGTGTGAGTGCGCGAGTGCGTTTTTGCGTGGCGTGTGTGTGTGTGTGTGTGCACGTGTGTGTGTGTGTGTGTGTGTGTGTTTGTGCCCGTGTGTGTGTGTGTGTGTTTGTGTGTATAAGTGTGTATGTGTGTATTTGTGTGTAAGAATTTGTATGTGTGTATAAGAGAGTGTGTGTGTGTGTGTTTGTGTGTAAAAGAGTGTGTGTTTGTGTGTGTGTATAAGAGTGTGTGTGTGTGCGTGTGTGTGTGTGTGTGTCTCGCCCGAGTGGCTCTTCGCCCCGCCGCGTGCGCTCGAGCAGTGCTGGCGTATGGAGGTCGCGCTGCGCCTGGCAAGCGTGGGGGGTCGTTGCCTCCGCACGCTCCCGCACGGGTGGATCGTCATCCCGCCAGCGTCCTCCGCGCTCGACCAACTGCCGCCTGGCTGCACCTCGCTGGCGCGTCGGAGGAGTGTGTGTGTGTGTGTGTGTGTGTGTGTGTGTGTGTGTGTGTGTGTGTGTGGTGGTGGTGGTGGTGGTGGTGGTGGTGGTGGTGGTGGTGGTGGGTGGTGGTGGTGGTGGTGGTGGTGGTGGTGGTGGTGGTGGTGGTGGTGGTGGTGGTGGTGGTGGTGGTGGTGGTGGTGGTGGTGGTGGTGGTGGTGGTGGTGGTGGTGGTGGTGGTGGGTGGTGGTGGTGGTGGTGGTGGTGGTGGTGGTGGTGGTGGTGGTGGTGGTGGTGGTGGTGGTGGTGGTGGTGGTGGTGGTGGTGGTGGTGGTGGTGGTGGTGGTGGTGGTGGGTGGTGGTGGTGGTGGTGGTGGTGGTGGTGGTGGTGGTGGTGGTGGTGGTGGTGGTGGTGGTGGTGGTGGTGGTGGTGGTGGTGGTGGTGGTGGTGGTGGTGGTGGTGGTGGTGGTGGTGGTGGTGGTGGTGGTGGTGGTGGTGGTGGTGGTGGTGGTGGTGGGCGGGGGGAGAGGTAATGGAGGAGCGGAGCGTCTGCGGCACCCGGGGAGGTTGTCTTCGTGGGGGGCGCCAGAGGGGGTGTCGCTACTCCAGGAGCCAGCGCACACCCCAGTCGCGGCAAAGCGCGGCTTCGGGTATATACCAAAGAGTTGTTCCAACACGCACACACACATACACCTACTAGATGTAGTATTTGTTTCTATATATATATATATGGAGAGATCTATGCTCATATATATATATATATGGGGAGAGGGAGAGAAAGAGAGAGAGAGAGGGAGTGAGGAGAGTGACGCGACAGACGAATCAAAGCTCATAGCTGCATTCCAATTTCGAAGTTAGAGTTGAAGGTTCAGCCGCTTTCTGGTCCAGCGAAGTGCAGCGAGGCATGGCTCGTCGCAAGCAAGCTCGATGACACGCCATCCATGAGAGGGAAAGCAGTGTGCAGAAGTGCGACAGCTAATATGACGCTAAACTTCTCAAACAAATGAGTACATGTTACGTTGAATGTGCTGCTTTTGCGTAGCGGAGCCAGCTAAGGCCGGCCGAAGCAAACACCAGCCAATCATGAGTTAATGCATGTTCCCTCGAACTAGTCAGCTAGTCCACGGCTGGTCGCAGGCCCGTGGACTGCAGCCCCAAGTAACGAGACACAAGCACCCAATTGGCAGAATCAATAGTTAGCGTTTTTTTGTTAATTCTTTTGCCGATCGGCGCGGGCCCTCGCACCCCCCTTCCCTCCCCCCCCCTGGAGTGGATCTTGGCTGTTGTTGGCGCCTCTTTCGAGCAGATGGAGCCTCCACCATGATGGACGCACTGCTGCAAACAGTCGCACTAAGCAGAGGTCCGGAGCCAGACCCCCCCCTACCCTCCCCCTTCCGCCCAATGCCGAAACGCCGAATACAAAAAACGTTGACCAATACAAGAACGTCGAAGGCGCATCCTCCGTAGCAATGTTGACTCAAGTCCAATCAGGGGCCCAAGCAAAGCTTGCTGCCTGGGTCGACAGACTTGTTTCCGCACGCCGAGGCGGCATCAGCTCACATCGGAGCGGAAGCTCTCGATAGGCTGTTGGTTCCGAGATAGAGCTGATGGAGCGCATCATTGGCCTGCTCGGCGACGAGACGCAGCACACAGGACTCTATTCGGGCGGGCGCCGGGGGCCGCCGCCTGCTGCCGCTGCGGGGGCGGCGCCTGCCGCGGAGGAGACGGCAGCCGCACACGTGCAAGCGTTGCCGGCGCTGACGTCTGCACCGGCGCCTGCGCAAGCGGCGGCACCACCTTTGCCCACGGCAGCTCCAGCGGCGGCGCCCGCGTTACCAGCCGCTGGGGGCCCTTTGCCGTTGGATGACCCGCTCGCTGTTGTGAACATGCTGCACGAGGTGCTCGTCGGGGCTGGGCTGCACGCGGACCTCGGTCTGCCGCAGATCGCGGTCGTGGGCTCGCAGTCCGTCGGCAAGACATCTGTCCTCCAGAGCCTCGTCGGCAGGAATTTCTTGCCACGGGGCGCGGGCATCGTCACGCGCCGGCCGCTGGTGCTGCAGCTGAGAAACACGAACGCGCTGGGTTCCCCAGAGCAGACTCAGCATGGAGGCGCCGCGCTGTCGGGGGCCCTGCAGCACGGCCACTCGGAGTGCTCCAGGGCTTCGCGCACCCCCCACGAGGACCCTCCGGGCCACGAGGCGGACGGGGTTTCGTCAAGGGGTTGGGTGGAGTTCGAGCACCGTCGGGGCGAGCGGCTCAGCTTCGCGGACGTGTGCCAGGAGATCACCGCGGAGACGGAGCGGGTGTGTGGCAGCAGCCACGCCGTCAGCGACGAGCCAATATTACTACGAATATTCTCGCCCGGCGTCACGGACCTAACCTTGGTGGACTTGCCAGGCCTCACGAAGGTGCCCACCGGCGACCAGCCGGCGGACATAGCAGACCGCATCCGCAGCTTGGTGATGCGCTACATCTCCCAGCCGAGCTGCATCATCCTGGCCGTCTCCGCGGCGAACGCGGATCTGGCCACCTCCGACGCGCTCGCGCTCGCGCGGGAGGCCGACCCCGCTGGCGACCGCACCCTCGGGGTGCTGACGAAGCTGGACCTGGCTGGCGAGGCGCAGGGCGCCGTCGAGGCGCTGCAGGGGCGGCTGTACCCGCTGCGCCTGGGCTACGCCGGCGTGGTGTGCGGCGGCGAGGCCGCTGGCTTCGACGCGGCCCTGGCCGCGGAGAGGGACTTCTTCGAGCGCAGCCGGGAGTTTAGACAGGTGTCTGAACGCTGCGGCATCCCGCACCTTGCACGCCGAATGCACGATCTGCTGTTGGACCATATACGGCGTGCACTGCCCGACCTACGAGCTCGGCTGCAGAGGATCGTGGAGGAGCACCGGGCAGAGCTGGAAGCGTTTGGAGACCCAGAGCTGCTCAACCGCATGGGCCAGGGCCCCTTTCTGCTCCACCTGCTGTCCGGCTACGTCCGCAACTTCTCCGACGCGCTCGACGGGCGGTCCGCCAGCTACCACCAGGAGGCGATGCCCGACAAGCTCGTTGGAGGCGCACGACTCCACCACATATTTCATCAGATTTTCTTGAAGGCGATATTGGACTTTGGCGCCTTCAGCGGCATGCCTGATGTCGAGATCCGGTTGGCCATGAGGAACGCGGCAGGTACCAAGCCGCAATTGTTTGTGCCCGAGGTGGCGTTCGAGGCACTCGTAAAGAGGCAGATCCAGAAACTCGAGGAACCATCGCTGCAGTGCGTGCACCTGGTGTATGAGGAGCTGAAGCAGCTGGCCTCGCAGAGCGAGGACGCGGAGATGCAGAGGTTCCCGGGCCTGCGCGAGAAGGTGCTGGAGGTGGTGCATGGCGTCGTGCGCCGCTGCGTGCAGCCCACGAGCCAGATGGTCTCGAACCTGATCAGGATCGAGCTCGCTCACATCAACGTGAGCCATCCGGACTTCATCGGTGGCCACCGGGCCATGTCAGAGGCCTTCCAGGCCGCGCACGGGCGCGTGGCCGGCGAGCGGAGCCCTGGGCGCGCCGAGCTCCCAGTCGGGGCGGCAACCGCGGCCGTCGAGGCCCCGCCCAGCGCGCGCGACGTCAAGCAGAGCGCCGCAGAGTGGCCCCGCAGCCAGTGGGGCCGCAAGGGCTCGAGGGAGGACGAGTCCTTGCGCCTGCCAGCGGTGCCCACCGTGGTCGCCCCCTCAGAGGTGCCCACCGGCAAGGAGCTCATGGACACTCAGCTGCTGAAGTCGTTGCTGTCTTCCTACTTCGAGATCGTGAAGCGCAAGATTGTGGACGCAGTGCCCAAGACGATCATGCACTTCATGGTCAACGCAGTGCGGGATAGCCTCCATCACGAGTGTATCGCAGAGGTCTACAAGAGCGAACTATTTGCGTCCTTGCTGAGCGAGGCGGAGGAGGTGCAGAGGCAGAGGCTGCGCCTGAATCGGCGCCTGGAGGAGCTCCGGAGGGCACAGGACATGCTGGCGCAGGTTCGCGACGCCGCCATCCATTCGAGCGTATGAGTTCGACTGACATGCCAGCCCACGCAGTCAAGGCCTCGGCGACATGGGCGAGGACATGGGATATCCTCTCCGTCTTTATCACCCTCGCCCCTTCTCATGGTCTTCGTCTCTTGTGTATCCCTCTCGCGGATGGCGTCTCTCATCTCTCATTGCTGCTAGGTTCCCCGCGAGCTGCGTCGCGAGTATCCGCACAGCCCACGGGGCGCTGCGTCGGCGGGCGCTCAAAAAAAAACAGAGAACGTCGAAGGCGCCTCCGGGACGGGCGCAAAAACGGGAGGTGGCCAGGCGCGCCTCCACGAAGCTCGCGCACCCCGCCCCGACTCGCCGCCGCCCGCCCCGCGGAGGATCTGCAAGTGCCTGGAGCGCTTCTCGAAGCGCAGCAAGCTCCACCGGGCGGTGGCAGCGAGAGAGAGCAGCGCCGTCCGCCCCTTCCGCAGACCCCCATCTGGTCATCACAAAATCACGACGGGAGGTTCTATATTCCCAACCACTTTGTGGTGTTTTGGGCCCTCGTTTTGAAGAGACAGCGCCACGCATTCTCCATCCTCCTCCTCCTCCTCCCCTCGTCCTCCTCCTCCTCCTCCTTCTCCTCCCGCTGCCCCCTCGTGCTCCCGTCCCATCCCTGTCTTTACCCTCCACATGCGTATCACTGTTTCGGCGCACCCCGTACACGCTTCGTGGCACCGTGGGGAGCTCCACCGAAGGCCCCGGTGGTAGCGCCCGCGTGCAATTCCATCGCGGCCCATATGGAGCTCCACCGAAGGCCCCAGTGGCAGTGCCAGCATGCGGTTCCGCTCCCCATTTTGGCGCACCCCTCACACGTTTCGCCGGCATGCAGTTCTACCTCCATTTCGGCGCGCCCCTCACATGTTTCGTGGCGTCAAAGTGGGCTCCACTGAAGGTCCCAGCGGCAGCGCCGGCATGCGGTTCCACTCCCATTCTGGCGCGCCCCTCACACGCTTCGTGGCCCTATAGGAGGCTCCACCGAAGACCCCAGAATCAGCGCTCGCATGCGGTTCCACCCTGCATGTCGGCGCACCCCTCGCACGTTTCGTGGCCCCACGGGAAGCTTCACCGAGGGCCCCAGCGGCAGCGCCCGCATGCGGTTCCACCCCCCATTGTGGCGCACCCCTCACACGTTTCGTGGCCCTCGACGGCCCGTAGACTGCCACCGCGGGCTCAAGAGGTGCGCGATTGGATACCGGAGGAGGTGGAGGAGGAGGAGGACGAGGAGGAGGAGGAGGAGGAGGAGAGAAAACAGGTGCTGCTTGCGGCCGGCTCGGCCAAGTCCAGCTGGGAAGCTGGCCCACCTCTGCCGCCTCCTCTCCTGCGAGGGCGGCCCGAAGCCGAGGCAGCCGACCGATGCTATCCCCCAAGACAGGCAGGAGATGATCCCCACATCGATGACGATGACGATGACGATGATGATGATGATGATGATGATGATGACGATGACGATGATGACGAGGACGTTAATGATCATCATCACCATCATCATCATCATCATCTTCATCATCTTCATCATTTTATCATCGTCATCGTCATCACCATCATCACAATCACCATCATCAGCAGCATCATCATTGTCATCGTGGTAATCGTAATCGTCATCATCATCGTCATCGTCATCATTATCATCATCAGCATCACCATCATCATCGGTATCGTCATCATCATCGGCATTGTTATCATCATCAGCAGCATCATCATTAATATCATCAGCAGCAGCATCATCATCGTCATCATCATCGTTGTCATCGCCATCATCATTATCGTTATTATCATCCTCATCGGTATCGTCATCATCATCGATATCTTCATCATCATCATCATCAGCATCATCATCACCATCATCATCGACGTCATCGTCATGATCATTGTCATCATCATCATCGGCATCATCATCATCGAACTCGTCATCATCATCACCATCAGCATCATCATCTTCATCGTCATCATCGTCATCACCATCATCGTCATCTCGATTATCATCATCACAGGCATCGTCATCGTCATCATCATCATCATCATCATCATCATCGTGATCATCATCATCATTATCATCATTGCCGTCATCGTTATCATCATCAGCATCATCATCATCACCGGCATCGCCATCATCATCATCGTCATCATCATCATCATCATCATCATCGGCATCCTCCTTGTTATCGTCATCATCAGCATCATCATCATCGGCATCGTCATCATCATCTTCAGAATTATCGTCATTATCATCATCATGATCATCATTATCGTCATCGTCATCATCATCATCATCATCATCATCATCGGCATCGTTATTATCATTGGCCGTCATTAGCATCGTCGTCATAATCGTCATCGTCATCGTCATTATCGTCATCATCATCATCACGATCCTCGGCATCGTCATTATCAGCATCATCATCATCATCATCATCATCGTCAGCGTCATCATCAGCATCATCATCATCATCGTCATCGTCATCATGATCATCGACATCGACTTCGGCATCGTCATCAATCATCTTCATCGTCATTATCACCATCATCAGCATCTTCATCCACATCATCATCATCATCATGGTCATCGTCATCATCATCATCGTCATCTTCATCGGCATCGTTATCATATCGGCATCGTCGTCATCATCATCATTACCATCCCCGTCATCATCATCAACATCGTTATCATCATCATCATCATCATCATCATCATCATCATCATCATTATCATTGGCATCGTCATCATCATCATTATCATCATCATCATCGGCAGCGTCATCATCATCATCATCCTCATCCTCATCATCATGGTCATCGTCACCATCATCCTGATCATCATTGTCATCGTCGTCATCGTTATCATCATCATCGTCATCATCATCATCATCATCATCAGTGTCGTCATCATCGGCATCGTCATCATCATCGGCATCGTTATCGACATCATCTTCATCATCATCGGCATCGTCATCATCATTGTCATCATCAGCATCATCATCGGCATCGTCGTCATCATCAACATCGTCATCATCATCATCATCATCATCATCATAATCGTCGTCATCATCATCATCGTCATCATCATCGGCATCGTCATCATCATCGGCATGGTCGTCATCATCATCACATTCGGCATCATCATCATCGTCATCGTCATTGGCATCGTCATCATCATTGGCATCATTATCATCATCATCATCATCGGCCTCGTCGTCATCATCATCATCGTCCTCATCATCGGCATCGTCATCGTCATCATCATCATCATCATTATCATCATTATCATCATCATCATCATCGTCATTATCGTCATCACCATCAGCATCGTCAACGTCATCATCATCATCGGCATCATGCTCATCGGCATCGTCATCATTATCGGCACCGTCATCATCATCATCATCACCACCATCATCATCATCACCGTCATCGTCATTTCCATCATCATCGGCATCGTCATCATCATCATCATCATCATCATCATCATTATCATTATTATCGTCATCGTCATAATCATCATCGTCGTCGTCATCATCGTCATCATCGTCATCGGCATCATTATCAGCAGCATAATCATCATCAGCATCATCATATTCGGTATCATCATCATCGTCATCACCGTCATCATCATCATCATCATCATCATCATCATCATCATCATCATCATCATCATCATCATCGTTCATGGGGCCAAGCGATTCAGAAAATGCCCCCCCTTCGTCTTGGGGGCCTCAAAATGAATGAGTGGGGCAGATTAATGGAATCAACCGCCGGAAACTGTGTTTTAATCGTCTGCCCCCATGGCGTTTTGTTTTGCCGCCTTGCGGAAACTGATTGCGAAGGCCTTACGGCCGGTGCCGCCGACCCTGCAGACGGAGATGACGAGCAGGACAAGGACGTTGAGGAGCAGGAGGCGGAGGACATCAGGGAGCAGGGGGGGGGGGGGGAGGAGGAGGAGGAGAGAGGAGGAGGAGGAGGGAGGAGGTGAGAGAGGAGGAGAGGGTGGTAGAAGGGGGGGAGGGAGGGGAGGGCGTGGTAGAAGGCCTCGGCTCTTGGCCCGTCTGTGGCTTTGTGTGGGCCCGGGGACCCCCAGGGGAGGAGTCGCATCTGACGCGGGACTCCCCCCCTGGACCCCCCCCGTGGGACTCCCCCCAGCACCCCCCCTGGGACTCCCGGGGCCCCGGGATCCCCCCCCGGACCCCCCCCCTTCCCAGCAGGGGAGGGATCAAAGGGAAGGGGCTTCCCTTCGACTCAATGACAACGTTGCTCTTGAGGGGGAGGCCCTGGAAAAGCGGGGGGGGACCGGCGACGGGCCCAGGGAAGAGGGGGAAAGGGGAGGAGGGGAGGCGGGCCCAGGGAAAGGGGGAGCGCAGGGACAGGAGACGACTGACACAGGGGAAGGGTGGGCGCAGGGACAGGAAACGACGGAGACGACGACGAACGAACGACGGGAACGGACAAGCCCCTCACACACGCCGACATAGGGTCGGCGGATTTTCTTTTCGTCCTCCTGCGTTCGTTTGATCACCCGCGGCCGCGGGAGGAGGATTGCGGAGAGGGGGCGCCGGAAGCGCCGCTAGGGAGTCCCAGCGCAGATCCAGGAAATCCACGAAGGACCGCCGAAAGTGCATGTTTATGCAGTTTTTTCAACCCCGACTAAGAACCAACCTGAGGAAGGCTCAGCTGTCGTCCTCGCAGACGGCGGCTGGAGCTTGAACATGAGGCCAACGCTGCCGCGGGAGCAGCGTGTCGGAAGAACCGAACAAGTTCGGATTGAACAACAAATATGAACAACACAGCCCCCCAATCCTCCGTGTAAAAACACAGCAGGCAGGAAGATTCGAACCGAGCGGAAGCACGAAAATGAGGCCAGCGTTACAGCGGGAACAACAAGGGAAAGAGCCGAACACGCTCGGATTAAAAAACAAATATGAGAAACGGATTCGCGCCAAACCTGTGTGTAATTTAAAACACACTGCGCGGGGGGGCGCAGGCAATCTTCCGGAGTGCATCAGGGGAGAACGGGGAACTGTTTTCAGATTGAATACTCGTAGAGGACCAATAATTAGCAGGGGGAAGGTGACAAGGGATAGAAAAGCGAGGGAGAGGAGGAGGAGGAGGAGGAGGAGGAGGAGGAGGAGGAGGAGGAGGAGGAGGAGGAGGAGGAGGGGGAGGAGAATAGGAAGAGGAGGTGGGGAAGGAGGTCGCTGTCTGAAGTCTGCCTTCCGCGCAGGATTGGCGGATCAGAAACTTCGACTTCCCATTCAGGGTTGGCCAACAGCAACCCCCGCGGCCTCGAATCGTCCGCCCCTGCGGGTTCGAATCGTCAGCCCGCGAATTCTTTCCCAGCTTTTGCTTGCCCGGCTCTGAATTGACCCCCCGCCACCCCGCCCTGAATTGTCAGCCCACGCCACCCCCCGGGCCTCCAGATAACCCGGGATTGTCCGCCCTCCGTCTGCCTGCCCCGCCCCTCCGCTATTGCGGTGGCGCGAAGGCCCGCGAAACTATCTTTTCAATCGTCCGCCCCAGAAAGTTATTTTAATCGCTTGCTCCCACTATCGCCGGCATCATCGTCATCATCACCATCATCATCGTCATCATCATCGCCATCGTCGTCATCATCGTCGGCGTCGCCATCATCAATGGTATCGTCATCATCACCATCATCGTTATGACCATCGTCATCGTCATCGTCATCATTATCATCGGTATCGTCATCGTCATCTGCACCGTCATCATCATCACCGTCATCGCCATTTCCATCATTATTTGCATCGTCATCATCAGCATCGGCATTGTCACAGTCATTGTCGTCATCGTCAGCATCATCGTCGTCATCGCCACCATCATCATCATCATCATCATCATCATCATCATCATCATCATTGACACCATCATCATCGGCATCGTCACCATTACCATCGTCATCAACACCGTCATCGTCATCACCCTTGTCATCCTCAGAATCACCATCCGAATCATCATCATCATCATCATCATCATCATCATCATCATCATCGCCGGCATCGCCATCATCATCGGCATCGTCTTCATCATCATCATCGACATCGTCATCATCGTAATCGTTCTCGTCATCATCATTACCGTCGTCAGCATCATCGGCATCGTCATCATCATCGGCGTCGTCATCATCACCATCGCCATTGTCATCATCGTCATCGTCATCGCAATCATCAGCATCATTGCCAGCGACATCGCCATCATCATCGGCATCGTCTTCATCATCATCATCGTCGTCATCATCGTCATCATCGTCGTCATCGTCGTCATCGTCGTCATCATCACCATCGCCATTGTCATCATCGTCATCGTCATCGTCATCGCCATCATCAGCATCATTGTCAGCGACATCGCCATCATCATTGGCATCGTCATCATCATTATCGTCGTCATCGTCGTCGTCATAATCGTCAGCGTCATCGTCCTCCTCGTCGTCGTGACCGTCGCGCGAGGTGTCCTGGGCCGCCCCGCAGTGGGCGCGAAGACCCGTCGCGCCGCGGCGGGCCGCGCCTCCTCTGCAGGCCGCGGCGAGGGGCGCGGAGACAGACCGCGCCTGCCGAGGCGCGGCGTGTGAAGCTATACGCTATATATATATATATATATATAGGTACAAACATACAGACATACATCTATACATATATATGTATGTATTTACATATATAGATATACAGAAGTCTCTCTCTCTATCTGTATATATATATATATATATGTATGTGTGTATGTATATGTAAATATACACATGAACATCTATCGATACTTGCATCCACATATACGTACATATACATACGCGCCGCTGTTTTCGAATAGACACATATATACTCAGATGTGGTGTGTATATGTGGGGGGAGGCGTTCCAATGAGGGCCTTGCCTTCGAGGGTCGACGGAGTTGTCGTCTCTTCCGCGGGGGAGGGCGGCGGAAGGTCGGCGGAGGTAAAACGAGGCCGCCTCCGCTGGCGGAAGCGGGCAAAGGTAAAAGATGTTCCCTAAGAGATGATCACTTTTTCGGTTCCCGGGCTTCAGAAAAAAAAAAAAAAAAAAAAAAAAAAAAAAAAAAAAAAAAAAAAAAAAAAAAAAAAAAAAAAAGCCATATGTAGATACGTATATATATATACATGATACATATATATGTATATTGTGTATGTGTACAAATACATACACACAAACATTTGTACACATGTACATACATATATATATATATATATATGTATATCTATAAATATATGTATATAGACAGAGAGAGATATAAGGCGTTCTCCACCGAGTAGTCCCAGAGCTCCGACGATCTGGTTCTTCAACCGGCAGTTGTTCCGCAACCTCGGCCCTCGGGGGCCGTTTTTTTGCCCTCGGGGGCCGTCAGGAGCGGATCCGGGAAGAGGAGCTGCCCCAGGGGTCCGGGAAGCGGTCGGGACCTCGTGGGGCCACGGATCAACATGACACCATTGCGGCAGAAGGTTTTGGATCTAGTCTCTCACGCCGATCAGAAGTGTGAAGGAAAAGCGTGAGTTTCTGTGGACTCCAGATCTCGCTCAAGAAGATCGAGAATCTGGACTGGGCCCTGGGTTTTTTCCTGGAGCTTCTCAGTTCTTCGTAGAATGTTCGTGCATGTGGACCTAAACTACTGTTTGAGAGGACGCTCCGAGCGAAGTTCGTTGTCTTAGCATCAAAGTCTTTCCAATTCTGGAGCCGACGGAATGCCGCGATGGGGCCCCCAGTCCTCGGGGGACTGGGCGCCCGCACCGCGGGCGCAAGGAATCCGCGCACGCATGTGTAGAAGCATGCTGCTGATAGCCGGACCGAGGTCTGAGATCGAGGTCGGGTCGGGGAGGGAACCTCGGATCGAGATGTTCTGAGGTTCGGGTTCGAGGTTCGAGCTTTCCGGAAGTTTTCGTCGGCCCTCGGCGATTTTCCAGCCTCGGGATGCTTGCCAGCAGCTGCGCCTCGCCGAGAGCGTTCCAGAGGTGCCCTTCCGACGAAAACCTCCCAGTGGTCCCAGATCCCCTATGCCATGATTTCCCCCATATCCTAAGGATGGGTTCCTTGTTATTACTTAGACCGCGCGGAGAACGAGAACACACACACACACACATTCCTCCCACCCTCAGGTCATCATGTTCTGACGCACTCACATGTCGACTCATTCATATTCAGACTCACTCATACTCAGATGCACTTGCTCTTATATTCATGATGCTCAGGTTTCTCGTACTTGGGACCACTCATATACAGACTCATTCACACTCCTGGTACTTCCGCGCTCAGACACACAAACACACACACACACACGTTGTGACGATGTCTCAGGCGAGGCGCTGGCTTCAGCACTCCCAAGGGGGGACGCCAGGGGGTATATCACGGGCCCGTCGTTCGCGCCCAGATTGGGGGTATGCTCAGGCGGTTTGCCTGTGTCGGTGCCCAACATCCTTCTCTTTCGGAGCAGTTTTCGAGGATGTCTCAGGCGAGGCGCTGGTTTCAGCACTCCCAGTGGGGGGGCGCCAGGGGGTATATCACGGGCCCGTTCGCGCCCAGATTGGGCGGATGTCTCAGGCCGTTTGCCTGTTTCAGTGCCCAACATCCTTCTCTTTCGGGGCAGTTTTCGGCGCCCTGACAGGTGTTCAGAGGAAAAGGAAGAGAAAGAGGAGGAGGAGGAAAAAAGGAGGAAGCAACTAGTTCAAGCCGTCGTAGTCGTCGGCGTCTCTCTCGGCTTCGTCTTCCACACGAACTCGCTGACACTCAGAAATTGAAAATGACAATTCCTTCTACCGAAGCATGCTGTCACTATGAGATGCACATATTGGGATCTCCGCGCCGAGTAATGCCACAACGTCAGCCCCCAGAGATCTGGACCCCTTCCCCTGAACCAGTTGTTCATCCTGAGTCGTTGTCTGACGCTCCCGAGGCCTGGCAGGGGCCCCCCGAGGCCGAACATTGCGGAACATCTCCCGTCGTGATTGTTTCACAGAGAGCGAGGGGGTGTGGATATCCGTAGCCGAGTCCAGGTGGCTTACCACCTGGCCGCGTACCTGCCCGTGAAGCAGCTCAGGACCCGATCGGGCTCACCGCGCGCCCTCGGGGGAGGGGGGGGGGGGGCAGCGCTGCGCTGCGGCCGTCCGCCGTCCGAGCAGGTCGCACCAGAGCGGCCCCACGGCATCCAGCGGCGCCCAGGCAGCCATTGAAAGAAAAAACGCGTCCTGCGCCTCCTCCTTCTCCTCCCCTTCCTCCTCCTCTTCCTCCTCCTCCTCCTCCCCCTCCTCCTCCTCCTCCTCCTGTTCTTCCCGATGCATCGGGGCGCTCGACCGAGCGCACCACAGCTAGGGCCGCGGCTAGCACTATGTAATAATAGCCGCCACCTTGTCCCCTCCCTCAGGGAGGAAACCTGCCACGAGCCTTCTGAGGGCACGCAGCCCATGCTCCCCAGGCTTTCTGCAAGGAGAAAGAAGGCTCTTCAAGACGCGATGCAGTATCGAGAGTCACCAGCTTATGTGGAGTTTCCCCGTGTGCCTCGAGCTTCCTCGAGGCATCCACTGCACGAGACACGATAGAGCCAGCGCACTCTCTCTGCGCAGGCTCAGAGACACGGCAACGTCTGCACCAGCGGCTTCCGTCGGGGCCATGCCAATCGTGCTCGAGAATCGATCGCACCACGGGCCGAACCAGGCCAGCCGACGCGCGCGGCCGAATCGGACGAGCCGAGTGACGAACAACAGCACAGTCACAACCATCGACCGACACCCCGACGGTGCCGACCCAGCGCGCGACTCTCTCAACGAGTGCGAGAGACTTGAGACGGAGCTTTCTCACACCACTATGAATCCGCACACTCGAGGCTGCTTGCTTGGCCCAAACATCCGCCTGATGAATGCCAAACCTGTCACGTCTAGACACGAGCCCCGACTCCACGGCCTGGATCGGCAGATGCGCTATTATCTTCCGCACCACCAGGCCAGCTTCGCCGAGGCCCTCGAAGTCTTCCAAGAGCGCCCAAAACTTACGCCACAAGGGGGTCCAAGCGCTGCAGTACGCAATAGTCCTTTCAGGCCCCCTCTCGTAGACACCCTCGAAAACAAAATTGCTATCTGTCACCGCCTCGATCGGCGGAACCGCTACTTGTAACAACTGGACTAGGGCCGATAGCTCGGCGCCATCATTGTCACGCACAGGACCTGCACACAAGCCATTCACCACATCCTGAAGCCCAAACGGCTCGGACGTCAAAGTGACAATCGCCCATCCCGCCACCGACCCAGTCACCCAGTCCCCCTCGAAGACCGACCCATCAAGATACGCAGTAGCGGCCGGGATGATCCCCGAGCCGTCATGCTTGCGCCATGCAATCTGTTGCTCGGCTGGCGGCCTCCAGCCTTCAGGCACACGCGTGCTGGCCCAAAGACATCTCTCGAGCAGAGTCTTGACCGCAGGCTCGTCAGCCCGATCCGTCAATACACGAAATTCTGCAGGCACAGGCCCACGCTCAGCCGCTTCACAGAAAAAATGCCTATGCAACAGAGTGCCCTCAGACTCACACAGCAAACACTCGCTATTGTCAGTGTACCCTGCCTCGAACTTCCTCGCCATGGGCCACTGCCCGTTCACAATGACAGAGCGAAGATATCCTCTCTGCTCCTGCGTCAACACTGGCAAGTTCTTACACTCGTGCGACGTGCAGCGTCCAGTGTTCACCAGCGCTGCAAGTGGCTCCCAGACAGCTCCGTGGGCCAAATGCCCCAGCGAGCAGTCAAACGAGACATACTGCCACTGCCACGCCACAACCGCCCTCTCAAGCAGCTGCGTGATGTACCACGGACACACTTCACGAACATCAATCGCATCACCTTCATGCGTGCACCACTTGAACGTCTTCAAGACAGACCAGCCCACTCTTTCCAGAGACAGCTTGACAGCCCCACAGGGCCCTTGAACCTGAGTCCAATGCTTGATCTTGAGAACTCTACTCATGGAAAACTCGAGAACACGCGTTGGCACCCAAGACTCCCAACGCGCTCTGACACAGGCAACCACAGGCAGCGCAGTCGCACGATACAGCGGATCGAACTTTCCATGACACATAAACGACAGCGTACGGCTCTTGCCTGCAGTTCTCGGCTCGGTGGCCGCAAAAGCCAGAGATCTCGCAGCCTCCAGCTCGCCGCAATCACAGCCCGTCATTGCCATGCCGTATGCTTAGCTAGACTCAATCCCTGACCGTGCTACCCGTGCTGCACCATACCTCTTTCGCGCCCTTGTCCAAAAGCGTTTCATCCTACGTAATTTCCCTCGAGCCTGTTGAATATTGTCCTTCCGAACTCGACGATCTATCCTCCTGCCTGCCGCGCAGTCAACTCTGAGATTCCGCTCATGTCGCACAGCCGCAGCTCCAGTTCTTGCAATCAGTTTCGCAATCGCCGCCCTAGCATCAGGATCATTGGAAAGGACACGAGTCTTGTCAACAAGAATGCGCACATCGTACTCGGCCAGAACAGTCTGCAGCTCTCTGGCTGCTTGCGCAACCTCTCGAACGACCCGATCTCGCCCTCCAACATGCTGAAGTAACATATCATCCACAACCGTTGGCATACGAGTTCTGTGCAACAGATACACCTGGTCCAGGGGAAGAATGAGCGCAAGTTTGAGCAACGTGGTCGCCCACCCATCCCCCGGAATAATAGTTTGCTCGGTCTCGATCCCCTCGGTCACCGCAGACCCCAACGCAGGGTACTTGCGAGCCCTATAGAGTTCCACTTGGAGCCGAAGTTACCAGAGAGGGAACCCCGTGGCCACAGCGGCCTGCAAGAGTCAGTGATGTGGTACTTGCCCGAAGGCCTTCAGAAGATCCAAGAGTACCTGAGCAGAGCACCAGACCCATTTACTGGCCTCCAGAGACTTGCATGTAGCCCACTCAGCCCAAGCCGTTCGTTGCCAGACCGCTCTCTCGCACGACCTCCCAGCACAAGCCCAGAAATACGCTCGGTGGTTCGCTTTCTCCCAAGATGCTGCAAGAGGCCTCCGAAGACGCGCCTGAACTCGCGCCAGCACGTGTACCGGAGCAATCGGACGAACTCCGCCACGCATCCTCTGCAAGAAGGCGATCTTCGTGCAGAACACAGGCCAACAGGCTGAGGACTCCACCGCCATGATCAGATCTATGAAGCACTCGAGCGCATCACCGCCCAGCTCCAACAGTTGCCGTGGCCGAGTGGAGTCGAATCCTACACCTGACGCCATCTTGAAGGTCATGAGCACCTTACGCGGCAGCTCAACGCTGGGCCCAGGTGGCCTCTCTCCCAAATCAGCGGGCCAGCTCGCGCACTCGTGCCATTCCCCGACCTTCCACCAACGGGACCACTCCGCCTGCAGAAGCTCAATGTCGCGTTGTTTGTGAACAGGGAGATGTGGCCGCTCTCGATCTGGCGCACACGGGGCCCAGGGAACCTTTTCCCGAGTGGTGGCAAACAGACCACCCGCGCCAGAGCCCGCTTGGGCCGTCACCCATTTGCGACAATGACGAACTCGGTTCTGCATGTCACGTTCCGCCAACTGCGGCGCATGATGCTTCGCACTGCACGCCAACAACTTTAGCGCACCGACCTCCATCTCGCCTATGGGAATGACAGACAGTACACTCCACCACCGCCCAACATCACCATCATGCACTGAGGTGACCGCAACAGGGGTTTTGTCTATGAGCCTGCAGACCGCCCGCAGCGCGTCGAGCCTGGTCAGCGGCTGCTGCCGGCACGCGGCGAACGCCAGCGAGGACCCCAGAGAACGAAGCCAGGGCACCGCTGGCGACACATGAGGGAGCTTTGGCGGTAAACGAGGTAACTCATCCATGAGACGAGGTTCCGAAGCACGAGCACGCCCGCGCATTTTGCCTGCCTCCTGCCTCGGAATTTGATACACCTCAATCCACTGCTGTTCTGCTGCAGAAGCAAAATCGCTCCATGCTCTCGTCAGCTGCTGTTGAGAAACGGCGCCCTGCGGCATCATGTCTCTTACATGAGCCCACATCGCGTCGAACTCACGCCTGTAACAACCACTCGGCAGAACATCGGGACATTGCCGCGGCACAGGCAATACACGCAACATGGGCTTCCCCACTGCGGCCATGACTTTCAAAGACACTGTGCTGTGAGGACTCAAAGGAATATCGGGGCAGACATTAGCAGCAACAGCCTGCAGCCCATCCGACACCAAGAAATAATGCAGGGTCCTCCCCGCAGGCGAACACGTCCCGACCGGCGGGGCTACAATAACTGCATCGAACCACTCCATCACCCCCGATCGCTCGAGATCCAAGGGCTCATTCTTGAAGTCACCTGCAATCGCATGCGGTCTGCCTACCATGCGCACACACTCGGCTACTCGAAACAGCGTCTCCAGATTATCCGCCGACATGCCAATCTTGTCAATCAGATAGACATTGACCAAAAGCATGCCTGCGGACGAACATCCAGAATGCAAACAACAAGAGGCCCTGCCAGGCACAATGACGCTGCCGACCCCGCCCAGGAGCCCCAGTCCATGCTGCTGAGAACAACAACACAAGAGACCCCCACTGCCACTGCCGCGCTTCCCAACAATGCGATCAATCGCTGGAGTAAAGCAACAGTTCCGTCCAAGCATTCTGAATCGAGTCGGCTCGTCGTCACACGCCCGAGAAGCCATATGCGTCTCCTGAGCCAGAATAGCATCGGCCTGCCTCAGTAACAAATCCTGAGCAGTACTCTCCCGGGTATTGAGGAGATCACGAAACGGAGAGAATATATTGACGTTGAGCGACACCAAACACCACTCTGTGTTAGGAACACTCCTCAGACACCTTAACCTTCGTCGCCGCAGCCTCCTGCAGCTCTTCAATGAATTTCTTGCGATCCGCCTCGGACATAGGAACATCCGCAAACTGCAGCGCCACGAGCATCGCGTCCCACTCGGCGTTGGACATAGGCCTCGAGCCGCCCACCGCCACTGCTGCAGTCTCTGCATCCGCCGTGAGGTCCACGGCCACATCGGCGGCCGCCACCGCCGCCACGGCCGCTGGCGTCC